GTCCTGGGTTTCTGCCAAAAACAGCTTAGTTCCAGGAGAGTGCTAAAAGAGGCATATAAAAATCATAATGTCTCATTTTAGAAGTAGTAGTAGAATTAGATGCAAATTGATGTACAGCTCTGCTGTTCTATTTCATGTGAATATTAAAATGACTTTTTTCATGGCTACTGTTATAAGAATTGTGAAGTTAAAGATCAACGCTTGGAGAATTACAGCATTAGAATATTGGATGGAGAGTAGTATTTATTTGATTGGGAAGCTTTCTCTTGTATGTCTGTGACTTTAAGAAAATTCTTTAAAAAGTCTTTTTGGGGGTTTATTTTGTGCACCAAGAAGCACAAAATATTTCCTTTGATAAATAAGTTTTTACTGTATGATTAATATTCTGTATATGGAGGAAATAGTTGTATCTGGCCTACCTCTGTGTGGTGCCCTTCTTTCAGCCTTGGTCCCTTTTTTCCAAAGGGTAGATCAAGAAAGAATGGATTACAGATTATCTGCATAAGTTTATCAGGTTGATAATGAATAGTACTTCCTTCTGGAAAAAGGTATTCTGTTTGGAGCAGGTCTGCTCTTCAGAGCAACAAAAGTCTGAGCCAGATGTGTTGGTTCTTTATCATGTAGGACCTCTTGTTCAGTGGGGCTTATGTATTTAAAAAAATAAAAGATTATTTTTAGCCATCTGAAGAAGTGAACTTTAAATTCGGATTTAGTCTAGAGAACAGAAAACCAAGCAGAAACTACTCGTGTTCAGGAGAAGTTCATGCAGGAAAGTACTTCCTTCCTCCTTCTCCCGACGCCTGGGTACAGCGTGGTTCCTGTGATAGAGGCTGCTTCCTAGGGTGCCTTATTGTGCTGCTGGGTGTGCTGTCAGCATTATTCGACAATTTATTTGGGTCCTTTCATCGGTCTTCTATGGTTCTTTATGGAAATGAATATGATATAGGGCACTGTGTGATATAATGGGCTTGTGGCAGACCTGGAAACTGTCATTCTAGTACATTCAGTAAGTCTTATGTTATTTTTCCTGCTCTGCTGTCATATGCTCTTAAGCTTTCAACCTGTGATCCCAGTCTGTTCTTCGTTCACGGTCTTTATCTGTAACACCAAGTTGTTCCTAGTGAAACGCTGATGTCAGAAAATGCAAATGTAACAATTGCAATTAAATTCATGTTGCTTATGTCTAAAAGCCTCTCAGCCATAAAACACAACTGTAGGTATGTATAGTTCTAAGAATTTGACTGATAATTAAGTAAGCAAAAGTTTTAATAGCAACTATTAAGTGCCATACAGAGAGAGTGAAGGCTGAAAAAGGGTAGAGATGGCCACAATTACTACTGGTTTTCTTCTCAAAATAACTTTTCTTGAATCTGTGATAGCTCTTGGCAAGCATTTGTTTTTTTTCCTAGCCTCTTCTGAACATCGTTTCCTGGATTTTAAAAATAAGCTAATAGTTAGAAGAGTAAGCATTTTGAAAAGAAACGGGATGGATTTTTCACAGGCACCTCCAAAGTCCCAACACCTACCGCTTAGGTGTTACTTGATTTCCTGGACTCTTTCTGGAGTGCAATAAAGATGGTATAAGCCAGACCTGCAAAAGAAGAACAAAAACTCATAATTCTTGTGCTTGCTAATAACCATGGACTGAAAAGAGTTATCTTTATGGTTTGCTGTAGCTTCCTTATTCAATATACACCATCTCCTCCAAGCCCCTCCAAGCGGCATGGGCCATCCTAGACCTCTGTGCCTGCCCTCCCGCCCCAGCTTGCACCTCTGCTGCAACCTGGGCAGGGATCGGCTCCTGCTGCCTCTCCCTGTTTGGGTTGTGGCAGCTGCCACGTTTCTCGATGGCTTAGTAGGTCATGGGAGCTCCTTAACTTCTCTGCAGTTCTTCTCATCTGGTAGAAGCAGGAGTCCTTAAAGTAGTTCAGGCCTTAAGGAGGGATTCATATACATGAATGTTTATTTTTCTCTGACTAATTATTTTGCCTGATTAAAAAGTATCAGTGCCACAAGCCCTCCTTGCTTCTAAGAAATAGAAGACAATTTCCCCTACCACTCTTCTAGCTGATAGAATTAAATGCCTTTCTCAAGGTTGAAAGCCTACAAGTGGAATGAAAAATGTAAGAACGCAGGTTTACCTCTGTATGTTTGTGTATGCGTGTAGATATAAAGCTTAAGAGTCGCTACCCATGAGTTGTTAGGCTGTGGGAACACCTGGAACGTGAAGAGCAGGAAACTTCTGTTTCAGGTAACTCGCCAACTGAGGCCTGTTTTACTGGCTATTGCAAACTGGGAACTTTCCTGCATGTCTAGTAACGTACTGTTGTAATGGATGGAATAGATAGTTGAGTCTTTTTGGATTTAAAAACTCGCACCCTCTTATTGTTTGTTTCACTCAGCATTAAAATAGGCCACTCTGTCACGAGTTTTGACACAAAGACTTGCACGAGAGGGATTTTGTAGGGGATGTTGCTGTCTGCATTTTATGACAGTGTTATGCACTGGAGGGTGCACAGTGTTAGGTGTTTAATGGTCATGTGACTGAATAAAAAAATTTCTAGCTGGTTTTAGTTGGTTTCCCGAAGGTTAGAAGAGAATATTGAATGCTTTTGAATAATGAGGAAGTGATTTAATTTGCCTATACCTTTTGGGTGTGCTGCTATAGCACACTGGTATAAACTGTCCAGCAATGACAACCTGCTAAAACATGCAACCTTTCCTAGTGGCACAGAGCATCAGCTGCCGTGGGAGACCGACTTTTGCATTGTGCTGGAAGCTCCTCATCATGGCAGTAGCATTTTTCCATTTTAGATGTTGCATTTGCAGCATGTCTCTAAAGGAAATTAGACTTGTGGAAACTGAATCCAGTATCAAATCTCTTGACCTACCCCTAAGTTTTACAAAGACATAATTGACTATTAGCTTCTACCTCTCCAGATAATAGGTGAATCTTTCTTTTCTTCTCTCTTATCCAATGTGAGACTTCAGGAATCAGGATAGCAGAGCATATGATAAAACCAGAAAATGGCAATTGCCATTGCAATGCCAGAAGATAGATGGGGAAATAAGCAACTTGTTGCTAAAGATGCAAGCATTATAGAACTTCCCAAGAAGCCAGTTATTAGTGTTGGTTAATTATCCTTAATCACCCACGTTTTTATAGCCCTAAAGAAGTATTCTCTAGGCTAATGAACCTAATGTGAGAAAAAGCATGCTGTGTCTCTCTCTCCTCTCTTAGCAGTAAGATTAAGGAATCCCCTTTCATTGAACACATTCATTACTTTGTGTATGTTGCCTGAAGTTTTGTTTCTCTGCAGACACTGGATGGTTGTGCACGCGTGAAAGGCTTCCTAACAGTCTCTTTGGCTAACACCAGATGGCTCCTTCACCAGTCCTGAACTGGCATCAGTTGGTCACTGCGTCTGTCAGCGCGGTTGTGATGTTGTAGCGTGTGCGTCCGCAGACTGCCGGTGGGCAAAGCACGCAGCTCGAGGAAGGTGGCGTTCGGCATGAAAAGATCTGAAGTCATTTCTTCCTGTTCCAGTTTTGAATCCATCTCAGTGCCTGTTGCTTGTTTCGTAGGCCTGGGGTGGACGCTGTGCTGCGGCAGGGTGGTGGCGTTCAGTGCCTGGGTCGCCCGTTCCGCAGCGTCTTTGTAACCTGGTTGCTGATGACTGAGTCTGCAAAAATGAAGGAATTGAACTCTGCCAGCTTATTTCACATAAGTGTGTATGACAAGTTTAGGAATAACATGACTAGATCATAAAAAATGCAGAGGTAATTACAGGATTTTGGCTCAACACCTGTAGGAAAAGTGATACCGCACAAAATGTTGCAAATTGTATTTGAAGACCGTGAGAGAGACTGGCACACTTGTCTAGTATACTTCAAATTTTATATATATATGTGTGTGTGTGTGTATATATTTAAAGGCCACACTGCTCCTCTTCAAAGAACTGGATGTGGATGTTGTTAGCTCAAATAGATATGCTGGGAGTTTCTACCAGCAGGTTGTGCTGTGGTGGTGTTTTAATATTCAAAAAGCATTATACAGGTGGAAAATAATATGTAAACTTTGCTCATGAAGATGGCACTGAAAGCTGTGTTTGTATTTTTTTCAGGATAATGAATGCAAAAGGGGCCAACACATTTAATTATCTACACACAAAGTATTATTTCAGTAATGTCTTAACTTCTGTGGGTAACTCAATGCAGCTGCAAAACAAAAGGTACTGCGGAGCTGTATTCTGGAGCAAATCCAGAGTGCCACCCTGACAACAGCCGGCCCATTTCTCTCTCCTGAAAGGGAAGGTTTCTTAGATAAACTGTTCCCTCTTATTTCATAGAATAATTATTTAGGAGATGAAAGATCAGAGGCAGAAAACAGAAAAAAACGCAATCTGTTACATGTACTGCTGTCCTACTTAATTTAAAGCTTACATACAGTAAACTAACAAACATTAATTTGTCAAAGGCTTTGTAGTATCTGGCTTTATGCTTTGACTTGCAATTAGCAGGCAAAATAACTTTTTAATTTGAATATCTTTTTAAAAAAAAAAAGCTAAAAAGTCCTTTCATTAGATCCATGAAATTTCCACAAACAGCAGTAAAACTGAGGCTTTCCCTGTATGCCTGGGGGAATTAAACACAGTTCACTGCAGAATTCTTTGTACTTGTATAGATACTTCGAAAAACTTCGTGCCACCTGAGATACTAAAAGGTACTGTTAATCTTAATGCAACCTGGAGTTACTGAAACAAGGTAGTCAGTTCCCACCTTTAGAACTACTTATTTACCCAGGAAAAAAAGTGCTCATTTCATAGCGAATCATTGCTCTGTGAGTTCATAGCCGTTTCCCTTGTTTAAGTTTATTTGCACGGTTTTATCTTGTCCAACTTGAGTTCATAGCTTCAAAAACATGACTGCAAATAAAATCTGTAAGCCATTTAACCAGGGGATAAAGGAATGATGGAATGTTTTGATTTTTCTCTATGCAGGATCAGCTGAAGCAATGCTTCTCCAGGCACCCCCCTGAGGCCAAGGACACCGACACGCTGGTGCGGGAGCCCGACAGTCAGTACGGTACCTGGAACGAGCAGCGGCACAGTGGGGACAGGTAGGGATGGATGAGCAAGAACGCACTCTGTGATACAAGCCTATACTTACTTAGCTGATCAATACGATAAAGTGCTTTGATTATGGTTGGGCAAGGTACACTTGCAGTTCTTGGGTGTGGTTTTTCTTTTTTCTTTTTTTTTTTATAAATTTGGTTTGGTCCTTAGCGATTTGCATTGCCTAAAAACGTGCGCTACCAGATAAGCAGAATGGCAAAAGCTGTTTGAATCTGGCATTAGGAATGTCGGCCACAGGCCCAGACAGTAAATCCTGTGATGACGTATGGTGCACTTGCTGCATGATATATGTTAGAGTAAGATGTTCACGTTTCACTACTTTGAAGTGTTTTAGTGTGATGAAAGGGAATATCTGTTGCATTTTGGGCTTGATCTGTGTTACGTGAGCCAATATCTTCTCTGCTCAACATAGCATGAGAATAGCACTTTTTTTCTGAATTTTCTTTATGCTGTGCTTGTTGAGATCTTATAACAGACATTAACGTCAGTTGTGTTTGGTGTGTTTTACACTTGAGAACTGTATATTATAAATATTTTATTGCTTATGAAGTCAGGGTTGCTTTAAGCTTGAAGTTCAGTGAGCTGACTAAATGACATGTCAACATCTAACCCTCTTCTGTAAAATTAACTTTGATTTTTGGTATGATAAATGTTTTCTGTGTGAAATCAGTTTCTTAACAAGGGTACTTGTCTCAGCTACAAAACTGACACTTGAATATTTCAAAAGATTTCAAAGCTGGATGTTTTTTTTCCTGGCTAGAAAAGCTCCACATTAAAAATCTGGTTTATTAAGGTATTGAACTCTTAATCCCCATGTCCTGGGATTTTATTTCCTTTATAACTGATGTTTAGGGTGTGTGGGTTTTTTTTTTTTTTTTTTCCTTTTAAAGTGTAGTGATGCCTTCAGTGACCCCGTCCCTCTTCCTTCACCCGGAGGCAGGAACTTGCAGGAGACTTTGATAATTCAACTTTCCTGTTTTGCCTGGCTCACTTCCCTTAGGCTTTATGTTGCAAACCATACAGCTAGAGAGCCGACGTTTTGCGTTCCTCACCCAGCCCGCTACCCCGTCGCGGCCCGCTGTTCGGCTGGCCGGGGAGCGCGCTGCCCTGCCGCAGGCTCCCCGGCAAAGGGGGCAGAGCGCAGCAGCAAGGACAAAGCAGCGGCCCCAGCCTACTAGCGAAGCTGTTATTTTAGCACCTTTAAGAGCGTTTCATTAACGTACGTGAATTCATTTCCTCTGAGGGAGGAAGAGAATTTCAAAATAAAAATCCATGACTGCATGGCCACAGGATAAACAAGGTCCTTTTACTAGATGAGCTCCTAGAAAAGCGGAGCCAGGATCATTTCCAAACAGAACGTAGCCACTGCTTAAATAAGTGTAAGGGCGCTCCTTGGCTTACTCGCAATCTGCTTTGGCAAATAACTTCCTGGAATGGAAAGGGATGGTTTAATGTGGAGGCGTTAATTGGATTTGTGCTTAGCATATCTAAATATTATTTTTTCTCAAATGCTTTTAGTAAGCTTTATCAAGTTGACATCATGGAAAAAAGTTTAGTTTTACCTCAGAACAGTCTTCAGAAGGAAAAAATGGTCTTTTATTTTAAAAAAATGTATTTTAGATAACGGATCTGAACTGCTCAGACTTCATAAGATTTAGCTATTTATTTCTTCAAATCCTTGAAGCTAGACTATGGCAACGTTTTACAAGAGAATCCCAACCATATGGTGTCAGTTAGCTATAATGGATGACAATCTGCAGTTGCACAAAATAAAAGGGAATTTTTAAATGGAAGTTATTTCTCGAGTGATGTAGGGACTTCTTTGCAGTAGGTAAGTACTGAGAGCTGCCTGTTGATTTTGAGGCCTTTCCGCGGTGTTGTTGTAATAGATTCTGTTGCTACATCATGTGAAATTGGGAGTCAAAAAGCAGCATGTTTTTATAATCTTTTAGTATTGTCTTGTTAGAACTAATTAAATTCAATTCCTTTTGAAAGGAAGATTGAACTTAATTTATTGCATATCTGTGGCATCTATTTAGCTGGTATTTGCATACACTATGTGAAAGATAATTTTTCAGACGAACAAGCATCTGTCAATGACACCTGTTGAACATTGTTGGTAGCTTACTAGAAACAATATATATGGATGTGCTCATAAAATTTGAAATCTTAATGATACAACAGAAAAGATGCATAATAAATCTCAGTAATGAGAACTGAAAGGATGTTTTATATTTCAATATTTGACCATTATTCTGATGCAAAGTTTTCGCCTAGCTTGCAATTCAGACGGAAAGCATCCGCGCGGCCTAGCAGGTGGTTGTGCTGGGCGGTCAGCTCCGCCGCAATGCTGCGGGTGTGGCGATGCTGTCCTTGTGCAGGAGCTCTAAAGGAGAACCCATTGGAAGGGTTTGTGAATTAGAAGCCACCAGCCAGTGAAAATTCTGTGAGAACAACTGTATTCCTGTCGTCGTTTACTCCTAAATATTTTCACTTTGAAAAACTGCACTGAGTTGTATTAGCTGAAGTCCAAGGATGTAGAAGGGAAGAGGGTTTCTAGAGGCATCCAAGTCGCAGAGGATCCTTTTAACGTACAGTTTTAGTTTCCACAAAGTGGTTAAGTCTCCAGATTGTTTTTTGTCTCTGCGTTCTCCATAATTCTAGTGGATCGAAAGTCTAATGCTGCAGATGCCAAACATCATTCGAAGTAAAAAAAGAATAGACAAAAACTTCCCCCTGGAGCTCATTAGTACCATTGCTTAATTATCTTGAGGCCCGCTGTTGAAGGAGGGAAAAGGCATGTACTCTACGTACATACTGGAAACCGTCTGTGCAGTATTTTCTCTGCCAGACTGGAAATTATATCACACACGGCTGCTTGGTAGAGAATTGATATTCAACAATAGACTCTGAGTGTTTTCCTTCCAAGATGGTCGTTACTGTGAATCATATCAAATCTTATGCTATATTCCTTCAAAAATGTGCATATATTCTCATATATATACACACACATGTTTATATGTATTTATATGTTCACTTTTTTATTTTTAGAAGTTTTCCTAGAAATATTCTCAAGAAAAAGTGCTTAGTAACAAAGAACTCTTAGCAGAAAAAAAAATCTGACCCCCTCCCCAATACTTCAGCTTTTGTTTTCTAAACTCCTACAGTTAGAAGCAAGGCAGCCTGTTTTTGCTGACCAAGTCTTACTGTGCTTCCGACAGCCTCTGACTGTTTGAATACTCCAAGCCCGCGTCACGCAGGGAGACACAAAACCATGCACAGCTGTCAGTCTTGACACTACAGCTAGTTTGTGTGTTAGTCTAGTCCAAGGGAAGATATTCATGAATACACTGGAAACATCATATCACTCGGCTGCAGGTCTTCCCCTCCTCAGCGTTCTTCACTGAAGTACGGCTTAGAAAGCCAGCCACGTGCCTTCTGGTGAGCTGGTTGGTGCAACTTTAGGTTTTGGTGCCATCTGCTGCTCACAGCTTATTCTGTGTCCGTGTGCTGTGCATTAAAGAGAAGAGCCTCTGCTTGACTAGGTGGGCAGCACTCTGAAATGTATCCCAACATAAAACAGAAAATGGTTGGTTTGGAGAACCGGTTTCATAATTGCATGGGCATATTTTAGGTTTGTTCCCACACTATGAATGAACATGGTATTCGACAGTATGGTGGAAAGCCCTGTAGGGGATTTGTCCCCATGAGCTTTCTGTAGGGATTTCCAACCCTCTCCCCAGCCCTCTTCTTTCCCCTTTCCAATCTGCTTCCCTGCCAGTTAGTTCTTTGTATGCTTTAAAATAGCCCAGGCTGAAACTAGTGCAGAACATGGCATGTGCCCCAAGAAGAGTGACTTGATGAGCCTCTGACGCTTCTGCTTGATCAAGTAGTTACTTAAAACTGCTAAACTTCCAAATAGCGTCTGATCCACTTAAACTAGTAATGTCCTCTCTCCTTTTCCCACCTTGGCTGCTATGGTTTCCTAGGTTACTATTGCTTGCATTCCTTCTCTCTTAAGGACTTAAGCTAGTGGCAATAAGAGAAACAAAATTAAAATCTAATAACAGCTGAAGTGAAAGCATCAATGCAGACACTTTGTCAGGACATATGAAATGCCATTTTTATTCCAATGTCTGTTAGCAACTGAAAATCAGAGATCCCCAAATGTTTTAATCTTCTGCACTGCTGAAGATATTTCAGTTTCTTTTGAGTCACGTGAAACTGGAATTGCTCAGCTCGTAACTACTGGTTTGTATACATAGAGCACATACTGCATGGCAGGAGCTGGCACAGCAACTAAGGACCATTCCTAATACTTGTTTCTACGTTGCAGCTGGTACCTGCTACCTCCAAAGATGCATTTGTTACTTCTAGCCAGAGCTTCTGTTTTAACATTTATTTATTAATGCCAGCAGAATCATCACTGTTATCTTTGGCTGTGCACTAATGCAACTAGTTGCAAGCTCTTTGCAGAAAACTTCCCGGGGTTTTTCTGATCTAGGACCACCTGAGGTAGGATCAAGGCAGAAAATCTGCCAGCAGCTTCATCATGTATCCTCTCCTTGGGATGAGTGCTGCAGATGAGGGGCACTGCTGCAGGGCTGTGCCTACACTGTTAGCCCTTCTGCAGCCAATGGAAACTTGCTGCTTTCTTCCATGCCTGTGTGGCCTGTTTCCCAAACTGCACGCCACCTTCCTATAGGTGTATGATCTGACTGTCTTGGGGCAGTGCATAAATGCTTCAGTATATGGGATCATCTTATGACTGCTGAGTATGCATGATCCAAAATATCCTTGCATATATTCATTCACCCTGAAATCTCATAGACCTCATTTTCTTAATTTGCAGCTTTGCGCCCGAATCTCCTTTCTCAGAAAACAATGCCATTTCCACGAGAAAGCAACCACCTAACAGCCAGCCGTCTTCTCTGTCCTCTCAAACGGAACCTGCCTCCCTGCTTGATCACCATGATTCCTCAAAAGAACAAAGGAGCACAAGTTTGGATCGTTCTAGCACTGACATAGACTCCACTGATGGGACTGATTTACCTCCTCCAGGAGACTCCTACCCTAATGAAAAGACCACTGATTTCTCCTTCATTGATGTAAGCTGTCATAACGGGGAAGAGGCGTTCTCTTTGTATGCTAACTGTATTGTTACCAGCACTAACCATTGCTATGCCGTACCTTCTGCAAACTTGGCACTCAGCCTTTTCATGCCTTTCCTTTATCACATTGAATTCTTCCAGCTGACTTCCTGTGTGATGAAAACTTTAAGATCAAAGCTACAAAGTTCTGGTAATTCCTGTAATACTTGGGTTGATGAGAATCTCTCTGTAACATTCCAGAGGGTTATTGGCTTTGAATAATGTCTGCCAATGGCTGTAAAGTTGCTGTTTCTCTCTCTGCTCCTCAGTGAGCTACAACAGAAGCGTTAAATGGTTCTGTGAACATTGCAAACACAACATAATTAAATGACACAAATAGCTAGTGTTTGCTGTGCTATGAAAATGCAGATTTAAGGCTATAGATAAAGGGGCTTAGTAATATTTTTCTTATTTAAAGGTAGTGTCTTTCTGTAATAGCTTAACATTGTATTTTAAAGATTTTTTTTCATAATAATAATCTTGCAGATGGTACAGGAACTGTAGTTAAATGTGGTTTAGTGTCCTTTGAAAGCACTAACGCAACTGACACGTAGTTTGCCATTTTCGATATGGCATCTAGGAAGTAATGCTTTTCCTTGAATAAGAGTGGGTGCACTTTTTTCCACTGTATAATGTCTAAAGGCAGGTGTATAGATAAGTGTGAGATTGCAAATTAGTGGAACTTGCAGCTGCTAGGAAGGTATCAGATACATAGTGCCTCTCTTATTGTCATAACACTTTCTGAATTGACTAGTAGACTGTTCTGTGAAATGTAGGAAGGATGCAAGCAGGTTTGTGCTGGAGGCAGTTTGGTCTGGTGCAGAACTGACTATTAAAATCACAGCTGCTTCCTGCGTAGGCTGTTAGAAAGTGCCGCCAGCAAGCTCTGTTCTCTGCTGGTGTTATGCTCTACAGGGAACTGCAGAAACCTGGCTTTTAGCAAAGTAGGTGCTGCTCTCATTTCCCAGCCCACTAAGGTTCAGAAGTGGCCATGTTTGGTGATTCATTGCTTTGAGATCCCTAACTGCATGTATCTTGGGCCTGGCATCAGTTAATAGTCCTTTGGCAGCATATCCCGAGCACATTCATTGCCCAGTAAAGGAAAAGCAGCAGTGCAGAAGTGGGGCAGTAGCAGTGACATTTTCTCTTGCTGTCATTGGTTCTGCACATAGGAGAGATGGTACTATGTTGTGCTGTTCTCTGGACACCTTAAGGTGTCTCTTCAGACCATTTATAACTTATTAGATCTGTATATTCCCAATTGTACTTAGAGTAGTTTATTCCTGATCTGAAATCTCTTAAAAAGGAGAGGGGAAATAAAACAGAACAAAACAAAAACACAAAAAAAACCCCCAGATATCTTGAGGAGGAGAAGAGGCCCAGTGATGTTTGCTGAGTACAGGCAAGTCTCGAACAACCAATTGCATTAAAAAAAATAAAAACACATCTTCTTTTGTTCTGTAAATTGCCTTGCCTTCATACATGGAGGTGGGTGTATTTAAAATAACTGATCGTAAACATTTTCTGAAAGGCGTAACATTTAACTTACAGTCTTCATGTCGCTAGCGAGTGGCTTGAAATTTCTGTGGATGGCAACCAGGGAGAGAAATAAAATTACAGCATTCTGCTAGAAGAAGAGAATTTTATGTAGTTGCTCTTTTTAGATTCCAGTCTTCTGATCGGCCTTCAGCCTTTATTAGCTAGCATGACCTAGATTCCTAAAACTGTTTAGGAACCAAAGTCCTATTTTACTGCAGTTAGTTATTTTATTAACTTATTTAGTGAAAACAAATCATGCAGATCAGGCATCTACAGCGAAGGGAGTTCAAAGAACCAGCGTTGTATCCCGTTAGTCACTGTGTAGTGTATCCTAATAATAAATTCTGTTTAATATGGTTTTAGAGTAGCCATAAGAATAATAATGAGGCAAATATATTTTTAATTAAGCTAAATGGGTTAATGCTTGAAAGTAGGTTGTGAAATCATTATGGAGGAGTTGACTTTGTTTTCAGTCTGGTTGAGAGTAAAGGTTTTGTTTCTTTTATAGCAAACCACTATCCTGGACTCCAGCGCGCTGAAAACTCGTGCACAGCTCAGCAAAAAGAGACGCCATCGGGCTCCCATTTCCCACTCTCTCAGAAGAAGCAGAGGGCCGGAATTTGAAAACAGGTTTTCTTTGGAAGAACCAGACAGTTCCTGGATGTTTAAAGATTCCACAGGTATCTGTAAACTATCTGAAGTAATTAGCCATAATCCGCTTGATGGTGAGAGCAGGAATTTCTGAGTGATATAAGGCCTAAGAACAGCTTTCCTTTCCCACTGCTGGATCATCCTTTTAAATCAAGTCTTCCTCTCCATTCCCTAGAGTCTTGGGAGTTGGGAAAGCCCTGCTAACCAGAGCTATAACAGACCAGGGCGAAGGAGGACTTCGATGACAATCTCCTTTAGCTTCTGGAAGCTGACATAAGCTTTTCACTGAGAAGAAGAGTTCAGAAACCGTTATGGCTGATTGGCCAAAAATGATAATATTCAGTGTGATAAGAGATTGTTAATGTTTTGATAATCCATGTTAGTGGTGGTGGTGTTTTCAGGCTTCATTAAAATAGATCAATGTCCCTTTCTCTAACTGTTCTAAGTTAGGCTGGTGGCTTTTTCGATGCACTCTCTAGCATGTTCTGTATATATAAACCTATGTGTGATTGAGAGCAATTGTAATTCATATTCTAAAGATGCCTCATAGGTATTCTTTCCTTCTAGCAGCTGTAAGTACTACAGGGCTAAAGAAGCCTAATCAAGGATAAATCACTTCCTTCAGACCATCCTATAAGGATATCCCCCTCCTTGCCTGTCCTGTTCTTTAGGACACAATAGTGAGATGCATCAGACATTGAAAATCATTGCTCCTAAAAATGAATGAATGGCTTAATGCATGCACTGATGATAAATCACCTGTTTAGTACGTGTCGCACTTAGGTGCTGTAAGGAAAGGTGCTGTAGATATCCTTTTGGCATTCCCAAAGCAGAAAAATTATTGGTGATGCAGTCTGCTCTTTGTAGAGGCTGGTGACATTTTTGAAACTCTGGGGACTAAATAGGTCAATTTTGTGACCTGCCATTCCTGTTTTGCCTTGGAGCCTATGAATACAGGGAAGAACTTGTGATCAAACTGATCCCTTCAGTAGCCCCTAATTAAGGGAGAGGGATGCTGTTATGCTTGTGGTGGTTGCTCTGCTACTGATCTAACAGATCTAAAATATTTTGAAGACCTGTCTTGGTAGGAAATGCATTATGGGAAGCTGGAAAGTATCAGCTAAGGACCCAGTGGATGTGAAGGCCAGCTGTACTCTTGCACGTTTACCTGTGATAAACAGCTAGCATACAGACTTACGCTACTTGCTTTGAGCAAGAGGTTGGACCAGATGACTTTCTGAGGTCTCTTCCAATCTAAATTAATCTCATGTTCTATGATCAAGTGAGAAATTTAGAAGCAGTAATATACCTTAATTTAGGGGTGCCTGCTGCTCTTTCATCTCTGTCAACAAGAAATCGTTCTGTTGCTGAGTACTTGGTATGTTTGTTGCTCTGACCTCCACTGGACCATTGAACCCAATCCTAAGGTATATTAATATTACTGTTAATATATTTTTAAATGGAAGGAGAGGTGTAGAGCAAAAAAGTATAGATGAAAAACTTGTTTGACTAATTTACTTTTTTTTCTCCTCTCTGTGCTTTTCCTTTATATAACTGCTTATTAGAAGAGAAGAAAACTATGCAACAGGAA